AAGCATAACTACATTGTTTTGCTGAGTTCTGTGAGCAGCTTGATCTAATTATTGAACTTGAGGAACATTGTGGGAGTTCCCATTTTTTTATATTTTGAGTTGGAGTCTCACTCTGTCACCCAGGCTGGAGTACAATGGCGTGGTCTTGGGTCATTGAAACCTTTACCTCCCAGGTTCAAGCAGTTCTCAGGCCTCAGCCTCCGAAGTAGCTGGGACTACAGGCGTGTGCCACCAGACTCAGCTAATTTTGTATTTTTAGTTGACTCGGGGTTTCTCCATATTGGCCAAGCTGATCTCAATCTCCTGACATCTGGTGATCCGCCCACCTCAGCTTCCCAAAGTGCTGGGATTACAGGCAGAAGCGACCATGCCTGACCCATGTCTTTGTTATTGCAAACAGTGCCGTAATAAACATGCATGTGCATGTGCCTCTATGGTAGAATAATTTACATTTCTTTGAGTATATACCCAATCTGAAGGTTGCTGGATCAAATAGTAATTCTGTTTTCAGTTCTATGAGGAATAGCCACGCTGCTTTTCACAGTGGTTGAATTAGTTTACCATTCTACCAGCAGTGTATAAACATTCCATTTTCTCTGCAACCTTGCCAGCATCTGTTACTGACTTTTTTTTTTTTTTTTTTTTGAGACGGGGTTTCGCTCTTGTTACCCAGGCTTGAGTGCAAGGGCGCGATCTCGGCTCACCGCAACCTCCGCCTCCTGGGTTCAGGCAATTCTCCTGCCTCAGCTTCCTGAGTAGCTGGGATTACAGGCACGCGCCACCACGCTCAGCTAATTTTTTGTATTTTTAGTAGAGACGGGGTTTCACCATGTTGACCAGGATGGTCTCGATCTCTCGACCTCGTGATCCACCCGCCTGGGCCTCCCAAAGTGCTGGGATTACAGGCTTGAGCCACTGCGCCTGGCCCATGCTGACTTCTTTAAGTAGTGTTTTGTCATTCTTGTCAGAGATCTTTCACTTCCCTGGTTAGCTGTATTCCTAGATACTCTATATTCTTTTTGTGGTAATTGTGATTGGAATTACATTTTTCATTTGCCTTTTGGCTTGGATGTTGTTGATGTACAGGGATGCTACTGATTTAGTGTCCTAAAACTTTGCTGAAGTTGTTTATCAGTCCTGTTGTTTAAAGAGGTTTTCTGGCTGGGCACGGTGGCTCTTGTCTGTAATTACAGCACTTTGGGTGGCCAAGGCCGGGCATATCACGAGATCAGAAGTTCAAGACCAGCTTACTCAACATGGTGAAACCCTGTTTCTAAAAAAATAAAAATAAAATAAAATCCCTCGCTCCCCTTTATAAAAAAAAAAATTCTGCGGAGACTGTAGGGTTTTGAAGATATAGGATCTACTCATTTGCACATAGGAATAGTTTGACTTCCTCTCTTCCTTTTTGGATGCCTTTTGTTTTCATCGTTTCCCTGATTGCTCTGGCCAAGACTTCCAATTCTATGTTGAATAGGAGTTTTGAGAGAAAACATCCTTGTGCCAGTTTTGAAGGAGAAATGCTTCTAGCTTGTGTCCATTCAGTATGTTAGTTGTAACTTTGTCATAGATGACTCATTATTTTGAAGTATATACCTTCAGTGCCTAGCTTTTTGAGGGTTTTAAACATGAAAGATGTTAAATTTTATTGAAAGCTTTTGTGGCATCTATTGAGATAGTCTTGTGGTTTTGTCTTTTGTTCTGTTTATGTGATGAATAACATTTATTAGTTGTTGTATGTTGAAACAACCTTGCATCCCAGAGATATAAGCTACTTGATCACACTGGATTAGCTTTTTGGGGTTCTTCTGTATTTGATTTGCCAGTATTTTTTTTTTTTTTTTTTTTTGAGACAAGAGTCTCGCTCTTGTTACCCAGGCTGGAGTGCAATGGCACGATCTCGGCTCACCGCAACCTCCACCTCCTGGGTTCAGGCAATTCTCCTGTCTCAGCCTCCTGAGTAGCTGGGGTTACAGGCACGCGCCACCATGCCCAGCTAATTTTTTGTATTTTTAGTAGAGACGGGGTTTCACCATGTTGACCAGGATGGTCTCGATCTCTTGACCTCGTGATCCACCCGCCTCAGCCTCCCAAAGTGCTGGGATTACAGGCGTGAGCCACCGCGCCCGGCTGATTTGCCAGTATTTTTTTGAGAATATTGTCTTCAGTGTTTATCATGGATACTGGCCTGAAGCTTTTTATGTTTGTGTTTTATCTCTGCCAGGTTTTGGTATCAGAATGATGCTGTTCTTATGTAATGAGTTGAAAAAGAGTCCCTTTTACTCAGTATTTTGAAATAATCTTGGTAGAAGTGGTACCAGCTCTTTGTACATCAGGTAACATTCAGCTGTAAATCTGTCTGATCCTGTGGGTTTTTGGTTGCTGGGCTATTTATTACTAATTGAATTCTGGAGCTTGTTATTGGCCTATTCCGGGATTCTCTTTTGTTGCTGTTGCTGTTGTCTTTGGAGGCTGTATCTTTGCTTCGGGGTTACAATCCTCATGTTTGGCCCAAGTGAACTCTCTACTTATATTCATGTTGCCTCAGCTTTTTCCTTTTAGGTAGACATATTACTTAGAGTGTGCTAGGGAAGCCTCTAAGAGGAGATTTCTCTTTTGATTGTACTCTGTTTGCTGTAACACCCAAGTATGCAAACCGGGTTGATCCCACCTAGAATCTGCACATAAGATCTGGCCTCTGCCTGGGGTTCACAAGACAGGACTGGACTTTGGATTGAGAATATACAGAAAACTTAACAGGAGGCATTTTCTGCATCGTGAGATATCAACATAGACATCTAAAATCCCCCTTTGAGAGTGTGGCTTTTTGAGCTTTTCAGATCTTGTTCAGTGACGTGCTACAGTTATGTGAAAGACTCCAGGTGTAAATAGAGTCTGATGACATAGTCTTTAAGTTTAAATAAGCATCTTAAGAGTGAGAGAGCCGGGTGCGGTGGCTCAAGCCTGTAATTCCAGCACTTTGGGAGGCCGAGGCGTGTGGATCACAGGGTCAAGAGATCGAGACCATCCTGGTCAACATGGTGAAACCCCGTCTCTACTAAAAATACAAAAAAAATCAGCTGGGCATGGTGGCGCGTGCCTGTAATCCCAGCCACTCAGGAGGCTGAGGCAGGAGAATTGCCTGAACCCAGGAGGCGGAGGTTGCGGTGAGCCGAGATCGCGCCATTGCACTCCAGCCTGGGTAACAAGATGGAAACTCTGCCTCAAAAAAAAAAAAAAAAAGATAAATAAATAAGGAAAAAAGAAAAAAGAAAAAAAAAAAAAACAAAAAAACCTAAGACTTTATTCCAGATCTTTTGGGGAAGGAAAAAAAAAGCTGTCATGACAGGATCTCCAGTTTATTGTATACATTTAAATTTGAGAGTTACCTTATAAGCCATCATGTTTTCTTTGTCTGAAAATATACACAATTCATTATGATGTAAATATAGTACTAAAAAATGTATACATTTGTGTTTATGTCCTTAATTATATATTTTATTGTAGGGCCCAGCCCTACAGGGTCCTGTGAAGCCCCTCTCTACAGGTGTGGAGATGAGAAACTGTGGAAATAAAAGACACAAGACACTGAGAAAGAGAAAACAAGAGTTTGGGCCCAGGGATCCAGTGCTAGCCAAAGCACGGAGTCCGGCAGTGGCCCCGAGTGCCTGGACACTCTAACTTTTATTGAGTACAAAGCAGGGGGCAGGGTAGGTAGGGTGAGGTAATGGTTGTCAGTGGTAGGGTCAAGTACATTATGTGCCATAGGAATGGTGACCCAGAACTTTCACGTAGCCGAGATGAGGTAAGAAGCATAATGTGCCAACACTTTTTCCATACCTGTCAAGAAAGAATAAAGACCTTAAGATTTATGTTAGTATTACTAATATCTTCTAAGAAAAAGAACCAGGTGCAGAAGTAGAATGTGAAAGTAGACATGGAATGTGACTACTGAAGCACAGCATCACATAGAGACAATTAAGTTCCCAGATGTCACATACCACAAGAGCTTGGGGGAGCGGAGTTTTCTCCTAGCTCCTCTGGAGAAGGAGACATTGTAAATGTCCCCTTCCACAGCTGGCTAAACAGCAGGCGCTTTCCCAGTGCTGGCGCTGCTGCACAGCCAAGGCACCCTCCAACAGCCCCTACATGGGCGTGACGGAGGGCTTAGAGTGTCTTGTGTTAGTGTCACTTCTTTCACAATGTCACCTTAGGTTCATACTTCCACCTGAGAGACTTTAGTGAAAGATTATGCTGAATATATGTATATATATCTTAATGGTTACCTATGAATAACTAAGATCACATAACTAAGATCACCTAGGAATAACTACTATAGTTATATCTCTAGTTATTTTCTTCTTCATTATTTATATGGGAACAGGCTGAGGCTTCTGACTCCTTCCTCATACTTATGGGGTCTCCCACCCACAGTTTATCATCCGGAAGAGTATCAGATAGGCACTGGTGATGTGTATCTTATGCCATCCTCTTCCCTCAAAGGAAGAGAATACATGAGAGAATATTTGTGTTGAAAATTATTGGATAATTTCAGTTGTTTTTTTTTTTTTTTTTTTTTTTTTTTTTTTTTTTTGAGACAGAGTTTCGCTCTTGTTACCCAGGCTGGAGTGCAATGGCGCGATCTCGGCTCACCGCAACCTCCGCCTCCTGGGTTCAGGCAATTCTCCTGCCCCAGCCTCCTTAGAAGTTGGGATTACAGGCACATGCCACCATGCCCAGCTAATTTTTTATATTTTTAGTAGAGACGGGGTTTCACCATGTTGACCAGGATGGTCTCGATCTCTTGACCTCGTGATCCACCCGCCTCGGCCTCCCAAAGTGCTGGGATTACAGGCTTGAGCCACCGCGCCCAACCTAAATTCAGTTATTTTTGTAAGTCAAAACCAATTGTCTTTACTCTCTCATTTCACCTTAACTCAAATAAGAAATTCTTCCCATGACCACTTGTTAAAATACATGTGTGTCTGTGTGTTTTTCAGGAGACACTGACATTTAGGGATGTGGCCATAGAATTCTCTCTGGAGGAGTGGCAATGCCTGAACCCTGCTCAGCAGAATTTATATAGAAATGTGATGTTAGAGAACTACAGAAACCTGGTCTTCTTGGGTGAGTATTAACTTTAATACACAATTATTACTATATCCTAAAAGTTTTATGTCTCTTTTTCTGTAGAATTTTTTATTTTGGTAATTTATGCTTTCTGTAAATGACTTTCTGATTTCTGTTTTAAGAAAATCTTGATGAATTTGTTTATGTAGAAAAGAATTTATTCAACATGTTTCATCTTGACCTGAACTTTCCACATTCCTTAGCTGACCTGTATCCTTTACTTTAGATTAATGATAATTCCTGAAATTTAGTGGCATAAAATATCTTTGCCCATATTTTAAACTCTATTTACCACCATCAATTTTTGATTCATAAGTACTAGGTAGTAAAATTAAGGACTTACAAATTTAAAATATTTTCTAAATATTCAGAGATGTCTCTCATTAATTAGTATTTGGGGATTAATTTTCTAGAATATTCTATTACATACTTTTTACTGAGCACAGTAGTAGGTTAGTAATTAGAGAATATAAGAATGATGAAGGCCGGGCGCGGTGGCTCAAGCCTGTAATCCCAGCACTTTGGGAGGCCGAGGCGGGTGGATCACGAGGTCGAGAGATCGAGACCATCCTGGTCAACATGGTGAAACCCCGTCTCTACTAAAAATACAAAAAAAATTAGCTGGGCATGGTGGCACGTGCCTGTAATCCCAGCTACTCAGGAGGCTGAGGCAGGAGAATTGCCTGAACCCAGGAGGCGGAGGTTGCGGTGAGCCGAGATCGCGCCATTGCACTCCAGCCTGGGTAACAAGAGCGAAACTCTGTCTCAAAAAAAAAAAAAAAAAAGAATGATGCATGTTATTTATTTTTAATAAAGCAGGTATTGCTGTCTCTAAGCAAAACACGATCACCTGTCTGGTGCAAGGAAAAGAGCCCTGGAATGTGAAGAGACATGAGATGGTGGCCAGACCCAACGGTAGGTGAAAGTGAATACAACAGACATCACAGATGACAGGTACAAAGGTTTAAAAAAAAAAAAAAAAGCCAGTTCTTACAACTTGATTTGGGAAGCTATGTTGAAAAGCAAATAGTTTTGGGAAGCCTGAGTATTTTGTTAAATTTTTTTCTCACATGGGGCATCTTTTGTCTTATGCTTTTAAATTCTCTGAAAATTCTACTTTTCCTTGGGTGACCTTCCTTCATTTCCAGTGAGAGCCAAAGTCCTCTTCACGGCATATTAGAGACTGTACAATCTGACTGCTTTTTAATTGTTTTTGGGGGACACACAAATATTTGCATAATTTTGAAAACCTCTATGTTAAACTATTAGTTCTCTTTTTGCATCGTGTCTGAAATGTGTGAGAATAGTGATTTCTGTTGCATTAGAGGCTTCTTTGTTAATTTTTCTGCATATTCCATTCTGTTTGTATTACTGTAGTCTTAAAATATAGTTTGAAATTGAAAATTATGCTGGGCATGGTGGCTTATGCTTGTGATCCCAGCAGTTTGGGAGGCCGAGGAGAGTGGTTCTGACTAACAAGGTGAAGCCCCGTCTCTGGTAAAAATGCAAAAATTATCCAGGTGTGGTGGCATGCCTGTAGTCCCAGCTAATTGGGAGGCTTAGGCGAATCACTTGAACCTGGAGGGCAGAGGTTGCAGTGAGCCGAGATGGTGCCATTGCCCTCTAGCCTGGGCAAAAAGAGCAAAACATCGTCTCAAAAAAATAAAATAAACAATAAATAAATAAAAAAGAAACGGTAAATTATGATGTTCCTCTGCTTTGTTCTTTTTTCTCAAGGATGATTTGGCTATTTAAGTTTATTGTAGTTTCTTAGAAATTTTAGAATTGTGTTTTCTATTACTATGGAAAAAAGTGCCAGTGGAATTTTGATAGGAAGTTTATTGAATGTATGGAATACTTATAATATGGCACTTTAACAATATTTATTCTTTCTTTTTTTTGTTTGTTTTTGTTTGAGATGGAGTTTCACTTATTTCCCAGGCTGTAGTGCAGTGGCGCAGTATGGGTCACCACAACTTCCATCTCCTGGGTTCAAGTGATTCTCCTGCCTCAGCCTCCTGAATAGCTGGGATTACAGGCATGCACCACCACGCCTGGCTAATTTTGTATTTTTACTAGAAACGGGGTTTCTTCTGTTGGTCATGCTGGTCTGGAATTCATGACCTCAGGTGATATGCCAGCCTCAGCCTCCCAAAGGGCCGAGATTACAAGAGTGAGCCACCACACCCAGCAATATTTATTCTTTCAATCCACAGACATAATTTTTTTTTTTTTCTTTGAGACATATTCTCTCTCTGTGACTCAGGCTTCAGTGCAATGGTGCAATCTTGGCTCACTGCAACCTCCGCTTCCCGAGTTAAAGTGACTCTCCTACCTCAGCCTCCCAAGTAGCAGGGATTACAGGCATGTGTCACCATGCTTGGCTAATTTTTATATTTTTAGTAGAGACAGGGTTTCACCATGTTGTCAAGGATGGTCTGTATCTCCAGACTTCATGATCCACCTGCCTCACCCTCCCAAAGTGCTGGGACTACAGGTGTGAGCCATCACACTCAGCTGACATAAAATATTTTTAAATTTAGTTTTGTCTTCTCTAATTTCTTTCATTAATATCTTTTTTTTTTTTTTTTTTTTTTTTGAGACGGAGTTTCGCTCTTGTTACCCAGGCTGGAGTGCAATGGCACGATCTCGGCTCACCGCAACCTCCACCTCCTGGGTTCAGGCAGTTCTCCTGCCTCAGCCTCCTGAGTAGCTGGGATTACAGGCACACGCCACCACGCCCAGCTAATTTTTTGTATTTTGAGTAGAGACGGGGTTTCACCATGTTGACCAGGATGGTCTTAATCTCTCGACCTCGTGATCCACCCACCTCAGCCTCCCAAAGTGCTGGGATTACAGGCTTGAGCCACCGCGCCCGGCATCATTAATATCTTACATATTTCATTGCAAAGATTGTTCATCTTCTTGGTTAAATTTGTTCTCAGAAATTTATTATTTTAATGCTATTATAAATAAGATTGTGTTCTTTCTCTATTGTATCAGATATTTTGTGTTAAGTGTATGGAATCATAACTTCTATGTTAATTTTATATTTTGTTAAGTTACTGACTGTATTTATTAGTTTAGACAAATTTTAATGTATTGTTTATGGTTTTTTATATATAAGATCATATGATCCACAAACAGCAATTTTTACTTATTTCTCTTCAATTCCAATGGCTTTTTAAAAATGTTTTTGAGTAATTTTTGTGCCACACACTTTCAGTCCCACATTAAAATAGAAGCATTGACAGTGGGCACAATATGGTTTTTTATTGGTGTCTGTGAATTTGAAGGAGCAAGAACTCCTTAAGCTTTTATAAACTGGCTTCAGGAGGCAAAGGTCATTTTCTGTTGTGTCCCTAGAGTGATGGGATGCCCTCTGGGTTTGTAGTGGAGGGTTTGCAGCTTGGTCACAGGCTGCTGCGTCTGCACTAGGGTCCACCTTTAGGTGGCTTGTTACAAAGGGTTTGGGTAATTGTAATTTCCATTTTATTTTTGGACAGTTTGAATATCCTTCAGGACTTGATCTGTAGGACAGGTTTCTGCAGTTGGGTCCATATATAATGGCCCTTATATCAGCAGGTGAATGGGTATGGCTTTCACTGAGTGAGTACACAGAGTGGTCTCAGGTCACTGTGTGAATTTCTCTTTAGGCAAAAGTGGTAATGAAGTTTGGCTCAGAGATCTGGAACTGAGTTATTGAACTGCTTGAGGGGCCACAGTAAAAGCTGTGTGGCTGTAAATGGGTGTCTTCCTCCACGTCTCTGGTAGGGCAGAACCTCTCTCAGACTATAGCTGAGAGGAGGCTGTAATAATTACAGGGTTAACTTCAGAATTCTCAGTGGGATCAAGTTGGTTGGGCCACTTCTTGTTCTGTAGCCAAGAGCAGGTAGTTTCCCACCTGAATGAGGCCCTGTTCTCTGAAAAGAACACTCCTCAATCTTGGGCTTAAGCAGAGTTTCACAGTTCCCTCCCTAAATCTCAAAGGTCTCTTAAAGGCACTTACTTTGGAGGTGCAGTCTTGTTTAGTACCTGGGCTGGTCTGGAAATCCTGGCCTGCAGAAATTCTCCAACCTGAGTGTGCTACATAGTTGTCATTACAGATGTGAGCCATGATGCCTGGCTCTCTCATGAAGGCATTTTTTTCAGGGATTACTGAAAAATTGTTTTGCTGTAAAGAGGATAATCAAGTAGAGCACCTTTTATTTTTATTTTTATTTTGGAGATGGGAGTCTCATTCTGTCACCCAGGCTGGAGTGCAGTGGTATGACCTTGGCTCACTGCAATCTCCGCTTCCTGGCTTCAAGTGAGTTTCCTGCCTTATCCTCCTGAGTAGCTGGGATTACAGGTACATGCCACCATGCCTGGCTAATTTTTGCATTTTTTTTTTTTTTTTTTGAGACAGAGTTTCGCTCTTGTTTACCCAGGCTGGAGTGCAAAGGCGCGATCTTGGCTCACCGCAACCTCCGCCTCCCAGGTTCAGGCAATTCTCCTGCCTCAGCCTCCTGAGTAGCTGGGATTACAGGCACGTGCCACCATGCCCAGCTAATTTTTTTGTATTTTTAGTAGAGACGGAGTTTCACCATGTTGGCCAGGACGGTCTCGATCTCTTGACCTCGTGATCCACCCGTCTCGGCCTCCCAAAGTGCTGGGAGTACAGGATTGAGCCACCGCGCCCGGCCTAATTTTTGCATTTTTAATAGAGATGGGGTTTCACCTTGTTGGTAAGGCTGGTCTCGAACTCCTGACCTCGTTATCCACCTACCTCAGCCTCCCAAAGTGCTGGGATTACAGGCATGAGCCACCATGCCCGGCACCACATTTTCTTTATCCAGTCTATTATAGATGGGCATTTGAGTTGATTCCACATCTTTGCTATTGTGAATTGTGCTGCAGTGAAGATACACATCCATGTATCTTTATAATAGAATGATTTATATTCCTTTGGTATATACCCAGTAATGGGATTGCTGGGTTCAATAGTATGTCTGGTTTTAGGTCTTAGAGCAGGCGTCCCCAAACTTTTTACACAGGGGGCCAGTTCACTGTCCCTCAGACCGTTGGAGGGCCGCCACATACTGTGCTCCTCTCACTGACCACCAATGAAAGAGGTGCCCCTTCCTGAAGTGCAGCGGGGGCTGGATAAATGGCCTCAGGGGGCTGCTTGCAGCCCGCGGGCCATAGTTTGGGGATGCCTGTCTTAGAGGAATCGCCATACTGGCTTTCACAGTGGTTGAATTAATTTATATTCCCACCAAAAGTGTAAAAGCATTTCTGTTTCTCCATAGCCTCACCAACACTGTTGTTTCTTGACTTTTTAATAATCACCATTCAGACTGGCGTGAGATGGTATCTCATTGTGATTCTGATTTGCATTTCTTTAATAATCACTAACGTTGAAAGTTTTTTTCATGTTTATTGGCCACATAAATGTCTTCTTTTCGAAAGTGTTTATTCTTGTTATTTGCTCACTTTCCAATGGGGTTGTTTTATTCTTGTAGATTTGTTTAAGTTCTTTGTAGACGCTGGATATTAACCTTTGTCAGATGGATAGACTGCAAAAATGTGCTTTCGTTCTGTAGATTGTCTGTTCATTCTTCTGATAATTTCTTTTGCTGTGCAGAGCTTTTTAGTTTAATTAGATCCCATTTTTCAATGTTTGCTTCTGTTGCAGTTGCTTTCATCATAAAATCTTTGCCTATGCCTATGTCCTGAATGGTATTGCCTAGATTTTCTTCTAGGGTTCTTGTAGTTTTGAGTTTCAGATTTAAGCCTTCAGTTCATCTTTAGTTAATTTTTGTATAGGTGGATGAAAGGGGTCCAGTTTCAGCTTTCCGCATGTGGCTAGCCAGTTGTCCCAGTACCATTTATTAAAAGGGAATCCTTTTCCCATTGCTTGTTTTTGTCAGGTT